CATTTAAGACTAAGACCTTGAGCCACCCTTCATTTCTTTAGATTTGCATCCAAGGAGCCAGACTTTTTTTCAATTTTTTTTTTATCTTGAGCAATAGTTCTCCAAACTTTCTGCAGGTCTTTCAAAGTTTTTCTTTGGATATTGGATCATTTAAAATCATCTTTAGTCCAGTACCATTTTCACAGGAATGTATCTTTGGGCACTTTGTTACTAGTAGCCTGCCACAAAAATTCATGATTTGTTTGTGTCTTTGAAAAATGCCAGTGATAGCACAATACAATAGTACTATCGACAAAAGATGAAACACTATTTTTGCACCAATACAATGATAGCCAAAGACCTATTGGCAAAACATTTGGCATGTCTCAGCATGCTGTGTGCTGTGTCCTTGGAAAATCTGAGGAAACTGGGTGAGGAAAGGACAAAAGAAAAACCAGGCCTAAAAAAACTATTGGCAGCAAAAATCTGTCTAAAAGTCATGTCTTCATGAATAGGAAAATATCAAGCAAATGCCTGACATAAGACCTGAGAGATGCATCTGGCCCTTCAGTTTTTATCAAGTTTCATCAAAAATGTTCTCAGTGGAAGAGTGGCTGTCAAGAAGCCATTCTTATCAATCAGAATCAGAATTAGCATATGTTATTAATCCCTAAGGAAATTATGTGGGTGCAGTTGCTCCAGTACAGTAACAGAAACAAAACAATATGTTACAGATTTAACAAATAGCACAATATATACAAATCACTCAATATTAAATGATCAAGGATCAAGGACTGACAAAGGTGAATAATAAATATCAAGGATTGACAGAGGTGATTATAAATTAAACTCAACCAACTATATGATTGTGGTGGTTGTGTGAGTGAGCCGTGGTGTATAAAATGCTTTGAGTGCTCAAGTGGAAAAGCACTATAAGAACCAATCCAATGACCATTAACTGAAAATCAGTGGCAACATTTGTTATAGAGTGAAGAATACACTTTATATTGTAAGGTAGAACCTACAATAACACATAGAGAGAAAAACCCAGCAATCATATGACCCCCTTTGAACAAGTACTTTGGCCCAGTGAGGGGCGGCCATCTGCCGTGACCAGTTGGGGTGAGAGAAGGAGGACAGGATAAAAGACATGCTGTTGAAGAGAGCCAGAAATTAATAACAAGTATGATTCAATGCAGAGAGGTCTATTAACACATAGCGAGTGAGAAAGGTGACTGAAGAAGAAATACATGCATCATGGGAATCCCCCAGCAGCCTACACCTATTGTAGCATAACTAAGGGAGGATTCAGGGTCACCTGATCCAGCTCTAACTATATACTTTAGCAAAAAGGAAAGTTTTAAGCCTAATCTTAAAAGTAGAAATAGTGTCTGTCTCCCGAATCCGAACTGGAAGCTGGTTCCACAGAAGAAAACTGAAGGCTCTGCCTCCCATTCTACTTTTAAATACTCTAGGAACAACACGTAAGCCTGCAGAGCGAGAGCAAAGTGCTCTAATAGGGTGATATGGTACTACAAGGTCATTAAGATAAGATGGGGCCTGATTATTTAAGTGTATGTGAGGAGCAGGATTTTGAATTCAATTCTGGATTTAACAGGGAGTCAATGAAGGGAAGCCAATATAGGCAAAATGTACTCTCTCTTTCTAGTCCCTGTCAGTACTATTTAAGTCATTGTAAACATGTACACAGGAGGTCATTAGAGAGATACAGCAGTGAGCGTGTACAGTCATCTGTATTACATCGTGGAAGTTCTCTCATGGTTTTGAGGTGCATTTCAGAAATGGTGTTAGGGAGCTTGTCAAAATGACTGTCAGTGCACTAAAAGTATATCTGGATAGAAAAACACACACTATGACACCTTAAGAAATAGTACATACATGGATTGGCCTCCCCAAAGCCCTCAATTATTGAAGCAGCATGAGATCATGAGATATTGACAGAGAACAGAATAAGCCCACAACCAAAGAAGATCTTTTAATGCCCCTCAAGATGCCTAGAGAACTATTCCTGCAGACTACTTTTGCAGGAAAGTGTGCCTAAGGTGATCATTCCCAATATTGACTTTCATGCTTGTCAGAACTGTACAAAGTCTGTTAAGCTCTGTGACCTTATGTGCTGTTTTTGCATTTATCTTTGCAATTTTCAACAAGTCTCTGCAACAGTTTCGCAGGAAAGTATTTTAAGAGGAGGGGTGGCTCAAGACATTTTCAAAGTACAGTAGTACACTTTGTACAACAGATTGGAGATGGATAGGCTGAGGAGTAGCTCAATTCTTCTTAGGCAGGACTTCTTGTAGGGTGTATGCGACTCAAGGAGGCCTGATTTTAAAAAAAAAAATGCTTGGGCGGGGCTTTTCCCACTTGTGGGTATTTTCCATTCAACGGTTTAGAATATGTAAAAGAAACTGAGGCCTATTTCAGGCCATGTCTGCACAGGTTTTTCTCTCCACGTCACGTTTTTATTCAGTAAAGTCCTTTGTGTTATAACGGAATAGCATGTCGGGCCACTGTGGCAACATGTTTTCCTAAGTTTGAGGTTTTCAGTTGTTGTGTTACTTATGTCCTTATCATACTTCAGAAAATATAGCAGTATTTTAATTTAACTAAAAAGGTATCAAGTAAGTGTGATACAAAGACCAAGATCATTTTTATCCATGAATGGAGGGAACTGTACAGCTCCTGAGGAAAGAACACTGTTGTCTATAAGATTATAATTTTCTCGTTGCAGTTCCTCCTCTGCAAGTTAACAAACTAACACATTTTCATGTTGAAGGTTCCAATGTAGGGTTTTGGACAATGATCAGTGGGTTATCCAAAAAACTTAAAACCATTTTAAACCTAGCCACTCATTTTGAGAGGCTTAAAACTAGTGAGACAAAATGATATAATTTCAATATATGATGGGGTATTTTTTTGTTTTTTTATACTTTGATGAAAATCATTATTTTAAAACACATGGAAGTCACCAACTGCTATGTTTGCCCCCTTGCTCTGCTGCAGCCACTTTGATCTTCGCATTCACCTTTATTCACCATTAAAATCATGGATGAGGCCAGAGTTGTCTGTCAAACATTGATTTGAATTGCCTAATAATGTCTGTCTTGTTGCTTTAGAGAGGGTAAATGAGTTCATTTGGATCAATTGGAATTACAGTTGTGCGTATTTTATGACTGGCCTAATGCTTCTTGGGAAAAAAAAGGTTTTGTAAATAGCTATATAACATCTTTTTTTAACCTTAACCGACACATTTTAAGGTCGCCTAATCCAGTCAAACTGCTGTGGATTAGATTTTAACCTATAGTCTTAGCAAGCATTAAACAAGATGTGGGTACACATATGGTTTAACCAGCACACTTCTGTTTGATCTGTGGAGACCAGATGCACCCTGGAGAATGCACAGAGCAAGCTTGTTACAGGTAACTAAAACTAAACTAAAAACTAAAACGTTGTATAAAAAAACATTTTCAATTAATGAAAATATATATTAAAGTTACACTTCTTAAAAAAAGAAAACTAACTGAAATGTTTTTGCGAGATTGAAAAATGAACAAACCTGACATTAGATTGAAAATATACAGGGGATATTTCATTTGTTGATTATTTGTTTTGCTTTATTTTGTTTTTTAAATGAAATAAAAATAAAGCCTAATTATAGAATTCCAAGCTGTAAGAACTCGGGCACAGGGGATAATCAGAGTTGTGATTTGTGGCTGCACACTTAAGGGAGCAGCAGAAAAAGATGAGAAAATGCAGCCCATTGCTGAGCTCTCCAGTGTCTTTTACCTGGTTTTGCTTGTCTACACATGTTGCTACAGAAGCGTATGAAGTAGTTGTAATAATTTAAAGCAGTGGTTCCACCTTGGTGAAAGTCAGAGTTACATTTTTATCTATGAAAAGGGGCCCTTTGGGGGGCGAAAAAAGCTTAGAAACCACTGATACCTGTTTGTACGTGTTAACAGCGGTTAAACTATTTGTTTAGACGAGTTTTTGCACTTTAAGTTTCTCTTCTGTGTTTTCCTCTGTTTGTCTGACTACTTTACATACTCTGTATTTTTCTTTTTTGATGTAACTTTGAAAAAACTTTACTTACAATGCAATGCTCATATTTGCAACTTTTCAGATGCCCTGTGTGTTCAGTTTGTCACACTAGAGGAAACTAAAGGGAATCACGGATGGCTTCATTTGTATGGATAATGCATACGTTTTAAAACGATGAAACAGTGGGGGAACAAAGGAGATGGAGTTGAGTGAGTTGGTGGGGGTGGTGGGTGGAGTTAAGAACATCTTAACTCTGTCCTTAAATCTGTCTCCACCTCCACACAGATCCTCTGCATTGTGACCTTATAACAAATGCCTTGAACTAGACCCATCTGGACCCCTGTGGTGGGAAAAAAAAATCTGAATGGGCTTCTGGGACTGTGAAGAAGGATTGAGGGAATAAAGCCTCCTTTTTCGTGGTCTGAATTAATGGTGTTTTTGGAGCCGGGACTTCATGAAGCAGGATGGATATTTTAATTCCCAGGAGTAGGAAAATACTAAAGAGAGACAGCAGAAACAACTAGAACGATTCGTGTGAGCAGATGATTCAAAGTTGCACAATCTAAGCATGATGCATTTCTGCATACCAGCCCCAGTAACAAACATGACTGAACATGTGTGCTGATGGTACACATAGTCCAACCAGTGTCTCCACCGTACTTTGTAGTTGCTCTCAGAACAGACCCTGGGAGAATGTGCGTGTCAAAAGGTTACGTAATTATCCCACCACGGTGAGACAGCACAGACCTCTAGTGTGCAGTGGGGAGTTGGTGTGTGTGCATTTCAGTGTGGGGGTGTCTGAATAGAAATGGATGGCAGAGAAAGAGAGAGAGAGAGAGAAAGAGAGAGAGAGAGAGAGAGAGAGAGAGAGAGAGAGAGAGAGAGAGAGAGAGAGAGAG